TCCCTTGAACAAGCGATAAATATTCTCCATTGTCTTTTAAGAGTAAGCGAAAAAATGCTGAATGTGCTTCCACAAGGAGTGGTGCATTACTCTCCTTGTGATGGACAGCACACTCAAAATCATCAAGAGAAAATGGCCACAAGTGCAAAAGCCGACTGTAAGATGAGCAAAAATCCCAAACCATCAAAAGATCACCAACACAGTTCATTGGAACTTTGAAGTCTCTTGAAGGAGAAGGACGTTCTGAGAAATCTGGATCATCCACACCAGGCTGTACTAAAAGATCATCAATTGGATATTTGATGAGTCCTTCCTCAAGTTGATCACCTTCTAGTTCAAGAAAGCAAAATTGTTAAAACGAACTTTGTCATATAGAAGTGAAAAAATCATTGGACGAGTGAAGTCAAAAGAGACCCAGTTAAACAGAAACATGGAAATGAAATCCCTAGGGAGGAAAGCTAGTATTTAAGAAGAGAAGACAAAGCCATACATCTAAGTACTTTGCTTGTTAAGACTTAAAATTAATTAGAAAATGAAATTCTCCTGTCCTATGTAGTGCTTGCTCTTAACGGACCTTTATTTGCACCATTTTCTGCAGTTGAGCCATTCATCCTCTCCCTCTCCATGTTTCTCCTTTTACRTTTTCCAGAATCACTTGTTCCCTATAAATGAAAAATATGAGAAGAATTAACAATGCAATAGGAGAATACCATAACTAAAAGAACCTGAATTTTATACTTCAAAAATTACCATGTCATTTGTTTTTCTCTTTTTGTTGCAGACCAAAAGCCCATCGCGGAAAAAAGCTTTGCTTCTTAATTCTTGTGGAAGATCAGTTGAAATTCCATGATTTTGTGCCAGTTTGTCATGAAGCACCCAAGGGGCACTGCGATATGTAGATTCCCGAATGAAAGACTTCAAAAACCTTCTGCTCAAAGGAGGTTTTTTCTGTACTAAATCCTCTGCATTCATAACTACATTATCAGTTACTTTCTTATTTCTGTCAAGCCAGGCTACCTCATATTGTATTTTCCTGGCACCATTATCAAGAACTTTGACAATTTTGCATGGATAAATCTGATCATCCTTCTTTCCATACAATTCAATACCAACAAAMAAGCATTCCTGCAACTTCACAGCAATTGTGTCTGCAAGATCTTTGAGTGACAACATGCCTGCAAATAAAGTATGGAAATAGGAATCCGTCATTCATGGCAAAAAATCATAAACATCAAACTAGATACTGAGTCAAACCGCCCAAAAAATTTCAATCATACTAAACAAAAAAATACTCCTGCCACAAGAAAACATGCACGCTAAGATCCTAGGAATGACAATACTGAAACATTCACACAAAGAGTGGGTGTTGACAACCCTCATGAAAGTGACAACCGTCAACAGAACTGTTTGAAATAGAAGTCCTTATATCATTAGCTACATGTGGAAACGATCAACAGATCAAAATCTCAGTCACCAATCAGCATAACCAGAATTCTACAAAACTAAGTTCCAGATTGCTGTACTATAAAGTATGTACAATACACTTTTTATCACATTAATTCCACTAAACAAGCGGAAATGTTACTTTAGAGACTGTACTTATTTCTTTCTTTTCCTCCTCATTGCATAATCTCCCATTCTATTCATAGTTTTCCTCTATTTGATACCGACTCTGACAGGAGCTCACTGCAAGGCCATCTCTTCCTTCCACCACACTTTTCTCTCCCCATTTGTTCTCACTATTCTTAACCCCTAGTTTCCAAATTCATGGATAATTCATTCCCGTCATCTTTCTGATTTTGCAAAATTCAGGTAAAATAACTTCTTTTAACTGTTTTGATTTTAGTCTCTCTTTTTTCACCTTTTCCATTTTCTTTTGTATTAAAAATGCAATATTCCAGAGTAACAAAGAGAAATCATGGTATTTAACCGAGAAAAAGGTTAATGAAAGCAGTAGGAATGTAACTTCTCTTTATTTTGTATTAAAAATGTCTATGTTTGAAACTTAAAAATAAATTAAAAAAGCAGACATTTCTTTATTTTTT